AGCGAGGAGAGAAATCCAATTCGGAAAACTGGCCATGCGCCGTCGCGCGTTCAAAAAGATCCTATCGCGGGCCTGCGAGGCCGCTGATAATGGCCCTCGCAAATCCCCGCCGATTCGCGAGCGCCCCCTATAAACCACGACGCTTTGAAAACCCGGACAAAAAGGGCCCTGCCGGAAAATGCGCGGATCTCGAATCTCGAATGAACGACCCCCAGGGAAAGCGAAAAGGAAAACTAAGATAGGGACGGCGAAAATCGGAATTTAGCCGGACTGTTATCACGGGTCTTGCGATAATTAGCAAGTCTCGAAGGGCCTCGTCGCTTTCTCCGGAAAATTATCGGGTTTCCACCGACCCGATTGGGTTTCCACGGTGTAAGGGGATTCGGGAATACGAGCGGAACCTCCTGGGGAAAACCGGAACCCGAGACGCCTCCAAGTTTTCGGCCACCCCTGCTTTCCTTCGGCGGGGAAATTTCACGGCTGTCCCTGTCTCTATTTATCTTCGCTTCCTTTTCTTTAAGGCGGTGCCAAAGTGACATCGACGCGGGGCAAGTGGATTGTGAGGTTTTCTTTTTTTTTTTTTTTTCAGTAGGTAGGAGCTTCGAATACCGCGACATCTCATTTCACTCGGTGCCTATGAAATTTCCGGATTTTGCATTTATTTATTATGTTTCTTGGGGGGGATCTTGAAAATTATGAAATTTCTTGGGTGGCGGGACCTTAGTTAGGGCCTCTATATTCATGTGGCGAAGTTTCGAAGGATTTGGTTCACCTAGTTCGGAGGAGTTTGGTAAACCAGAATCCTCCGACGGCACTTTCGTGTCACCTTAAATGCAACAGATGGCTCTGCAGTCGATTAGGATATGAGAAATACGAATCGAAGGTATTCCTCTTTTATTTTTAATTTGATACGACGACCGAGACAATTCCTGGAAATTCTTCGTTTCTCGCGACATTTTCAGGACGAGCCGAAAGGCTGGACCTTACCTCTCGCTTACCTAACTTAAATGCTATTATAGATACTTAGCGCGGGCTCGAGATATTTAATTTTAAATTTAATACGGCGACCGAGACAATTCCTGGAAATCCTTCATTTCTCGCGACATTTTCAGGACGATCCGAAAGGCTGGACCTAACCTCTCGCGTCGCCGGGATTACGAGTAATTGCATTAGCGAGGCCGTAATCCGGCGACGTTGTAATTCCCGGGTTGACCCTCGGAGGTCGCGGCGACGTCCCGGAAAATCTGGCAGGCCGAGATTGCATTGCTCGTAAATTTCTATAATGCCGTTATTAGGAGAGGGCGCCTCCGTTTCCTTCCGTCGCGACGTCCCGAGGGAAGGAAGAAGCGCCGGGCCGAACTTCGTAGGTATTATACAAAGGGGCGATCCTAACCTCTCGCCCTGGGGGGGCCACGTGACTCCAGCCGATGTGTCATGGCCGATAATTGGCTGGGTATAAATTCCCTCCCCGGACTTCTTTTCGACTCCTGTATTTTCCCGGCGTGCAGAAAATGGAAAACGAAATCCCCTTTAGGGGACGTCTCTTTTACTAACCTGGTGCGACATAACCTTAAATTGATGACCGCGCGCTGGAAGGACTCGACAAAAAATGACAAGAATCGTACGTTTCCATTGTTTCATGGCGTTAGAAAGTTATTAGGCATTGATGGGGAAATTCATCGAATGCATTGAAAAATCGGGAAATTATCCGAAGAGGACATCTCTTTTACTAACCTGGTGCGACATAACCTTAAATTGACGACCGCGCGCTGAAAGGACTCGACAAAAAATGACAACAAACGTACGTTTGCATTCTTTCATGGCGTTAGAAAGTTGGAAGATTTTTATACTCGCCTACGCATTGATTGGGAAATTCATCGAATGCATTGAAAAGTCGGGAAATGACTGAAAAAGAACCTAGAGTGAATCCGAGGCGCGCCTCTTCGGCCTCGCTCTAAAAGGCGAGGCTCAAGTTTTCCCAACTGGAAACTGTCTTGAAAAAGTTTCCCGTTCGGCGCGGCCACACAACGCTAAGCTCGGCCCCGCGGCTTAACTCGAGAGTTCGTTAAATCCCTATTTACGATTTCGCCCCGCCATTACGGAAGGATCGAAGCACCGTAATGGCCGCCCTTTGCATATCCGCGGGGAATATTCGCCCCCCGGAAGAAAGTGCGCCCCGGGAATGGCAAACTGCAAGAAAATGCCCCCTCCCCCGTTCGCGGGACTCCTAGAAACGATTCTCTCGGTGGTTTTATCGAGTCGCGAGCCGAGGGAGCCCATGCGAGCCGCCGCCATCTTGGATTCGTCCTTCACCCGCAATTCCTCGCTAATGGTATCAATTTCAATGATACCCCCTCCCTATTAACCCCCAACTCCACCTCGTTAACCCATAAAGTGTATAAAATACCGCTTTTCACTTAAACCTAACTCCAAACCATCCAAGACGTTCTTAAAAGCTGAATTTACATTAACATATCCGAGGACGCGCGGCCCCCGTAACGCGTACTCGCGAAAGAGAGGGAAAATCCGTTTTTCTCGTAAATCTAACCCCGAGATGACGTCCAGGATGCTCGGAAATGATCAATCCTTTCCTGGGGTGCTTCTGGAATGTCCCTTTCGCGGTAATATAGACGTGGAAAGCCCCGATGTCTAGACCCGGGAATGGGGAGGCGGCGGCCATCTTTCTTTCCGAGTAATACTACTGTATATCTTGGTCTTAGGCGAATTCCTCGCTCGTTGGGGATGTGTCGGGTATTTTGCGATAACTTCCTGGCTCCTTCATCGGATATATTCAGTCTTGCGACTCCCTGTTCGAGCACTAAGGGTATGCTCGATGCGGCACGTCGCGGTACCGAGGAATTACATTGAATTAGTACTTCCGGTGGAGGAGCACACCGATGTGCACCATTAGTTTGTTCGTTCATAGGCGATTGCCGGTATGTGGCGGGTAGTTTATTGCTCCAGGCCTTTGTGTCGGAAGACATTGCTGCAAATTGCGCCCTATTGTTGCACGCCGTCGCAATGTGCCCGTCCCTAACCTCAAAGTCGTCGGCCACCTTAGAATCGCTACCAATGCGAGATCGTACTTAAATTTCGCCTCCAGGTTTAATTAGTTTACCTATTATTTATCTTTACACCTAATTTATATATTAAAACAAAAAAATATATGTAATAAAACAAAAAATATATGACTTAGACCACTTTCATAATTATGGGCACAATTGTCGGACGCGATTCCGCCGGAAGTGGAGATACTCGGCGAAGGAAGTCGGTTAACAGCTACGAAGGGTCTAGTTGAACATAATGAAAGTCTCGAGGAATACGGTAGACGGGATTTCGAGTTAAATAAGTTTCCTCGTTACACGGGTAAACGTAGAACTGACGCGGGAAGCGCCAACAAGTACGGAAGAGGTTCCACGCAGAGTTGATCATTTTATCACTTCCTCCCCCTGGGAGGTAAGAAGAAAACGTACCAAACATTAAGAAAAAAAAAATGAACAAAATGCCACCCCCAAAGAGGAAGCAGGAAATAGTTGCACGGAAACCACTGTACATTCATTTGGGAAGGAAAAGAAAAAATGTCTTCCCGGTGGATTTACACACGAAGGGGGTAAATTGGTATGAGCTACATGAACATCTATAAGGGCATGAAAAGGGGTAAAAAAGTGCGTCCCAGAAAGAGGATATGGTAGCCCATGTCTATGAAGAAGATTCGAGTTGAAGTGCATCGCTGGGAGGGGTGAAAAAAAAAAAAGAAGAAAATTGCTCCCTTGTCAGGAAACGGGAGCAATTTCTATTATCAAGAAACGTCCAGGCCCGGCCTGGGAATTCCCATTCCCGAAATGATCCCTCGTGCCAAGTTGGCTCTTAATTGCCAACACGCGGAATGCCAAGCCGCCCTTTTGCTTCCTATCTTCCTGTCCTTTCTTCCTTTCTTCCCTCCTCCTTATCTCCGGCCAAGTTTTCCGGGGCGGCCATGCAGCCCCGGGAAAAATGTTTGCATTGTTCTCACGTACGCAATCTTATTACCGGCACACGTGGTGTAATATTCTCCCCTCGTTCCTTCCATCGCGCCTTTAGAATCCGCCTCCGTAGCCGACATTGTTGGGATGCGACGCCGGCTTCCGGCCGGGGGATGATCGAACGCTGCCAAAGTTTGCACCGATGATACGCATCAGCCCTCCGGGAAACTTTCCGGGGGAGTTTCCCACCCGGGGGAAACTTAAACGCGACATGCCGGCCTCTACGATCCGTTTCCACCGGCAATAATTGCGAAGCTCATGACTTGAAGGGCCGAGACGCCCTCTGAAAGACGAGCGGACGCTTGAGGACGCCGGAAGTCGCTTTTTTTTGGACCCCTCTCTTCTGCGACACCCTTTGGCCCACCTTGATCCACTTGATTGTCGTATTTAATGTGACAATAAATATTGTAACTTTTTGTAACCTGCGAAGATGATGACTTGAAGGGCCGAGACGCCCTCTGAAAGACGAGCGGACGCTTGAGGACGCCGGAAGTCGCTTTTTTTTGGACCCCTCTCTTCTGCGACACCCTTTGGCCCACCTTAATCCACTTGATTGTCGCATTTAATGTGACAAAAAATATTGTAACATTTTGTAACATGCCTTCAAACGATAGCATAGATTTTCCGACTAAATTTCATAAACTTGACATGTTATGAAATTATATAATTTTTTGTGACATGCTTTCAAGCGATAGCATCGTTTTTCCGACTAAATTTCATAAACTTGACATGTTATGAAGTTATATAATTTTTTGTGGCAAGCTTTCAAGCGATAGCATTGCTTTTCCGACTACATTTCATAGACTTGACATGTTATGAAATTATATAATTTTTTGTGACATGCTTTCAAGCGATAGCATCGCTTTTCCGACTACATTTCATAAACTTGACCATGATGTTATGAAATGATATAATTTATTATGACATGCTTTGAAGGACTCGTTTCGATGTTCCAGGTTACCACCGCCGCAGCAACAGGTCACGGTGGGTTCCCTGGGCACAGGGATGGGCAGCAATGCCAGCGGCACCACTGGCATTGCTGGTGCCCAGGGTCAACCATTGGTCATGCCAGGATTCCCACTTCGAGCAGCAACCGTGCCCCATTATTCCCCATACTCGCCGTCTCGTTTCCATATCGACAAGCGATGTCAGCACAGGTGCTCCTGGAAATGCTTCTCCATCGTCCTGATACTCCTCGCCGTAATTCTCACTGCCATGCTCGCATACTTCGCCGGTAAGTCGGTGCAACCTATTGATACCTCATTCACCAGCAACGAAGTGCATAAAAAAATAGGGACACCTAGTTGACCCTGTTTTTAATTCATGACCACCATCCTTATTCTCTTATGTAAAACATTGTTTGGATATTTTACATCGTGCAAAAGGTTGCCCAGACGCGTTATGTCCTAAAAAAATGTCGCTGAATTACATTGCATCGCCTAAAAATATTGCCGGAATATTTTAAAGCCACAGAGAAATATTGCTGAAATTTTTGACACCGTGCGAAATTGATATCCAGGTGTTTTATTTGGTAGAACAGTATTGCGTGGAGGTTTTACGTTAGAGTTCATTAAATGTGGCGGCTCTATCGTTACAGCTGTGAGTTCCATGAGACCAATTGATAGTACTAATTGCATCCTGGTCCAAGACGCTAACGCTGTTACCCACGAGAATATCCGTATGCACGACCAAGCCTCCACCCAGCTCCCCACGGAAGGTAAACGGACACTTAATATCGTCTCCTGGGTGTTATATCAACTTCCCAAGTTCAGCAGACCATCCGAGCATGGTATCGGTAGAAAATGTGTGATAAATCGTGTATTTCCATGCACCACAACAGAGTCCCTGCCAACGAGCACAGCGGAGCATTCGAGCGCTGCTGATAGCGCCAACGATCAGCAGAGCGATCCCCAGATCCAGCAATCGGCCCAGCAATGGCCGGCCGTCCTGGAGCTGCAGGCATACAACGTGGCCCACTCCGCGGTTATCCCGCCTTATCACTTCTGGAACACGGAGTTCCGGAACAAGCAGCCTGCCTTCGTGAGACTGAACCTCACCCTACCATGGGGAGCCAATTTCGCAGTCTACGGTAGGCGCAATGTCGCTCCCAGCGTGACGCAGTACGACTTCGTGGAGTTCGTCAAAGGTGGACGAGTGGACCACAGATTGAAGAGGGACCTCTCCTCCGAGGCGGTCAGCTTCATGGAAGACCCGCTGTCCAGCAGGATGGACGCCGTTCGCAGTTACAGGACCTTTCCCTACATGCACGTCGTCGTCAAGAGGACCATCATCGAGCCCATGCAGGTCAACGTCAGCTTGCTCCAGTACCTGGACACGGGCCGGTGGTTCCTCTCCGTCTACAACGACGAACTCCAGTCCTACAAAGTCACCCTGGTCGTCACGGAAGCCGAGGGGGTCTCTACCACCTGCCCCAACGACTGTTCCGGACGTGGTTCCTGTTACCTGGGGAAGTGCGACTGCATCGACGGCTACCAGGTGAATCTTCTTGATCTTCTACACCCAGAAATGTGTTTCCTTGGGTCAGGGCGACTCTTCTTGGTCCACCTGTAGGAGGTTGCTATTATAGGGACAACCAATTGTGTGGTTACGGAGTTTTAGTTGGTTACCTCGAGTGTTGTGGTGGGTCGCGTTAAATGTTAAAGTAACTTGGGGCATTTGACCAAAATATCTGGTTCATTGACTGGGACGCAGGGAATTGAACGGTTCCATTCGATAGAGTCGGCACCGGGCTTGGATTTATCCAGAACCGATAAGCCCACCTTGTGCTCGATGGTAATCGACTTCGTCTTGGTCCGCACCTGCCGTCAAGGTGGTCTTTTCCCGTTCCAAGTTTGGAGGTCTAAACGTGCCAGCCTGAAATGATAACATCGGGTCAGCACTAAAGTAAGTTTCGGCTGCTAGAGCAAGGCCAAGCTTTGCCTCTGTCGTTCTTATCAGCCGGCCAACGCGGTTACTAAACTCGCTCCACTCCTGGTAATCAAAGTTGGTGTAATACGACTTCGTATTACAATTCTGAAGCTGGATCCAGTGTTGTCGTTAAACCTCGGCACTGGCCAAATTTGGCGCAACCGTGGTGCAGGACGATCATTACCTCCAGATCCTGAAAGCAGGTTGCAGGTAGAGATTGCCATCGAGTACCTGGCCAAGAAAATCAGGACTTGAACTTCTAACTCGAGTTAGGGACATGACATCCTAGATCGCATCCTTCATTGCTAATTCCGAGTGTTATATTAAAAATTACTGACAAACACCTGCAGGATTACGCCTTGATGGTCAATGATGGTTGGGTTCTTTCAGGGAGCTGACTGCAGCAAGAGTGTGTGTCCGATTCTCTGTTCCTCCCACGGGCAATATGGCGGCGGGGTCTGCCACTGCGAGGATGGCTGGAAAGGCACCGAATGCGACATCCCAATTGGAGATTGCCAAGTTCCCGACTGCAACCAACACGGACAGTGCGTGCGGGGATCCTGTGTGTGCAACACCGGCTGGAAGGGAAATTTCTGCACCGAACGTGAGCGACGTTTCTTTAAGACTGTTTTCTTTCACTAGAAGTCCCTAGTCGACGACACTCTTCATAAAGCTTCCTAGACGATATCAGGGGAATTTAGCTGGGATTCTGTTCCAGCTGACTGTCCTGACCCCAACTGCAGCGGCCATGGGGCGTGTGTCACTGGGAAGTGCTACTGCAAAGCCGGTTGGCAGGGGGAAAGGTGCAACCAAATCGACCAACAGGTCTACCAATGTCTGCCAGGGTGTTCCGAACATGGGACCTACGACCTGGAATCGGCAGCCTGCATCTGCGAGGAACATTGGACAGGAGTGGACTGCTCCCAGCCGAGCTGCGGTCTGGATTGTGGACCCCATGGATCCTGCGAACAAGGACGCTGCAAGTGAGTGAAAGAAGACAATCCTATTGTGGTCCATGAGGCATGTAGTGTCAGACATGGCGTGCAATTTGGGTGGTGCTGATACAGCAGCTTATTTTCGATCATCAGGTGCCATGACGACTGGGCAGGCACGAAGTGTGACCAGAAACCATGCGACCCTAGATGCGCCGAGCATGGTCAGTGCAAGAATGGGACCTGTGTGTGCAGCCAGGGATGGAATGGCAGACACTGCACTCTGCGTAAGTGAATGCATCCCTGATAGACCGACTGTTTGGCTCATTTCGGACGAAGGGGCCGGATCTAACCGTGAATTGTTTGACTTGCCAGCTGGTTGCGAGAATGGCTGCAGCCGCCAAGGACTGTGCACTTTGCAAGATGGGGAGTACAGTTGCAGATGTTCCACAGGATGGGCTGGAAGGGATTGCAGCATACGCATCGAAATGGAATGCAGCGATGGCATTGACAACGACCAAGGTAAGTTCAGCGGAACTGTCTGCAGACAAGTCTAAACTACGATGTCTAACCCAGTTGTAGTCGTCTCTCATCTTGCTCGAGGTACCATCAGTCCTTAAGATGTTGTTATAAATCAGGCTAATGAAATGATTGTTCACAGATGGAATGGTAGACTGCTTCGACAGCGAGTGTTGCACCCACTCGTCCTGCGTCGAACACATCATGTGCCTTTCCAGCAGCGACCCTGTGGAAGTTCTCCTCCGAAAACAGCCACCCAGCGTCACGGCGTCCTTTTATCAGCGCGTCAAGTTCCTTATCGAGGAGAAGAGTGTCCAGAGCTACGCACACAAGGACGAGTACAGTGAAAGGTAGGAAAAGACATATCCCAGAAGGTGCGGCATATCCAAGTTCGTAAGACAAAGTTAGGAGGTAGCCATAAGGGACCCGACCAGACACCACGTTTTGCCGGTTTACCATCGGCATCAGCTGGTAAAACAATTTTGACGTCCCATCAGCTGATCGAGAATTGCAATGGACCTAGGGAACGGGCTGTCTGGTCGAGGGAAATAGCTAGAATAATTAATTTAAGCCCGTGGAAGGCGTGCACCTCGGATCTCTCGAGGATGGCCACGAGGTCCAGCTAACTTTATCGCCAACCAATTCCCAGCATTTCGTTGGCCGTCTTTTACTTAGATGTAGCTTTGGATTCCCCACCGCGGCGGGACAGAGAAGTGGAAAAAGAAATTACGAATGTGGCTACGGATCGATGGGGTATCCTAGCTCTTAAGGGGGTGCGAAAGTGCCACCTGAGGAGTCCTTCAAGGGACTTTACTCCAAACTGGGTGTACCGATTCGTTTCAAACTTCGCAACATTAACATCGAGGCTGTAAGGAAGGTCCTGACGCCCATGAAATTCCATACTTTGTAAAAAAATTCCCTTTTCTATATGCAAATTTTTTAAAAATTGAAACTTCATGACTGTCGCGACCTTCCTTAGGGTCTTCCTATTCGCGTTCTGAAGGTTTGTAACGATTCTATGTTCCCAGTTGGAGGAAAGTTTCATAAGTGAAACTTTTTGACGGCACTTTCATATCACCTTAATGTCTGTCGGTGTCATATGATCCATTTAAGGCTGCATTCGTGACTTTTGATCGCGACTCGCTTCCAAGAGTGTTAGTTTGTTAGCGTTCGTCATTTTTCACGGATTTCCTGACTTTTTTCTCGAGCTTTGGAAGATGGAATGCCGCGAAATGGATCGGCCAGGAGAAATGCCGGTCAAGTTCTGGTTTTATTCCCGGTAGAGCGACTGTCGATGAAGTAATGAGTCCCGTCATCTTTGTCGGGCGGATTCGGTTGGAGTATTCTTAACAATTGACCAGGTCTCTCTTGTTAACTGACTAACAATGGCCGAGCAGTCGAGAAAGCCCAAAAATATACAGTGGGCTACAACCACTGCTATCCTCTTCCTTGTGTTTTACTCCCTACCTCCTCCGAATGCGAGTGACAACGACGGCTGTCTATGAACCTAACGAGCAAAGATATTTCCGCAGCTGAAATAGGCATTTACAAGTTTAATTAATAGGCTTTACGTTAAGGCGATGTCGAAGGGCCGTCGTAGAAGTCTCGTTTATGAAACTTTTCTCCGAACTGGGTGTTCCGAATCGCTTCAAACATTACAATTTGAATACGTAGACTCTAATGAAGGTCTCGACGCCCATGAAATTCCGATTTTTCAGAAATTTGTTTATAGGTATTTTAAAAATCTCTTAGATAAAATTAAACTTTGCGGGTGTCGGGACCTTCCTTATGGCCTTAATGTTCACGTTGTAAAATGAAATACGATTCGGTACACCCAGTTCGGAAGAAAGTTTCATGAACGATTCACTCTTGCCACTTTTGCATCCCCTTAATGTTGGTATCTCGATTCATGAAATAATGCTTTTGTTTTCTCTGTTCTACCTTCTTTCGTCTCTTCCTCTTGTCATTTACGACCTCCACTTTCTGACGTTTCTTTCCCCTGGTTTGGTTTCTTATCACTCTCATATCAGTTCTTTTTTTCTTTTGATTTAATTTTTTCTCATTTATGCACCTTTCAGTCTTCCGGTCTCTGGAACCGGAAATGAGGCATTCAGTTTTCTGAATACGGAGAGAGGTAATTTTCCTTCTACCTTCTGCTTTTCTTTTCGGTTCATTGGGGACTCCAACTTTCTATGATTTTCTATCTCCCTCCTGGAATAACAAAAGCGCTATTACTGAGAGTTATTGTTTATTGGCAAAACGGATCCATAAGTTCTTTGAATTGAGAAATAAATATTTATCGAACTGGAGCACCGAACTTTGCCGCCATTTGCATATGCTTTTTAATGCATTTGGCGCGGAACTCTACCGAGTTTCTTTCGTTTTTTTTTATTACAACTTTATGAAACTATTTAAAAAATTCTAATGATGTGACCCTATTCCAAATCTCGGGGCGCAGAAACTGCTTTGATGAAATTTGTTTAATTCTAAAACAAAGGGGATAATTAATTACTCGCTATTATTATTGCACAGTGAATTTGTTCCTAAACCTCATGCCGATTAGTTATAAACTTTACAACGTGATCATAGAGACTACAAGGAAGGTCTAAAATAAAATACCAATTTTTGGCTTCAAATTTTGTTTATAGATATTTTCAAAATTTTTTATAAAAAAGAATAAATAAAATTCCACGAGTGTCAAGACCTTCCTTATAGCCTCGATGTTCATATTGCAAAGTTTGAAATTATTCCCTGCATACAGTTCAGATTAAAGTTTCATAAACGAGACTTCTTTGAGGCCACTTTCACATCGCCTTAAAGAAAACATAGAAGATGAAAAGGTAGAAGGGTTAAAAATGGCCTTTTTTAGGTTATGAGGTTTAAGGTAGGTTCAAGTAGGACCAAGATTTCGGAATAGATCCAGAAATGGTGTTTTTTGGGGTTTTGAGGTTTAAGGTCGTTTCAAAGCTTCGACTTGGGAAATTCTTTGCTCCATGGATCGAAAGGAAGGCCAAGGCTCATTGCATTTGCATACGAAGGTTTCGTGTATCTTGTCTAGTGTTGTCCTTCTGTGTTCACCCTACCAATTACCAAGACGACCAATTACCAAACACCTACAGCCGAGCCCGATTGTGACCCGTTTTAGCCAACGATCACTTGAAATTGCAAGGAAACTTCTAGATTTGCTTTCTTACCTTGTTTGTTACTTCATTTCTGTACTCCATAATAATAGGTCGTAAGAAAAGTTATTCTGCCATTTGTTGTTTAACATCCGACGCTCAGTGTCCAAACGAAATTGATTTCCCTCTGTACCATATCTTACGTGCCATTTTCCTGCATTTTGACAACAATCGCTTTTTAAACATCAATTTCCCTTTCGTCTAGACTAATTAAAAATAGAGACGACGGAAACTCCGGCGATCCTGTACGTGTCATTCAAAATGGCGGCGGCTCATGCCCTCGCGATATCAACGATTCCTTAGAAAATAATTAAACGAGAGGAATAAATTAATATCCAATGCGTAGTTGTTGTCAAAATGATCAGTGAAGTTTGCGCTTTAAGGTGATATGAAACTTTCGCCTGGGGAATCTCGATTATGAACCTTTTTCCATAACTTAGTGTACCAAATCGCATGAGACTTTTCAATGCGAATGCGGAGGCGATAATTTTTTTTTCTCTAATTTATTTATAGGTCTTTTAAAATTCTTCATATAAAATTAAACCTTCCTTAAAGCCTCCATATTCACGTTGTAAGGTTTGAGAGCAATCGGTACACGTAATTCGGAGAAAAGCGTCATGGCACTTTCACATCCCCTTAAAGAATGTAAAAATGGAATGCGATGGAAATAATCAATTTAATTTGAATACGAAGCGTCGAATTATTAGGCAGCGATCGGTAATAACTTTCTGCACTCCGTAATAATAGACCTAGCCGGCTATTGCGCTCACGGTAAGTGAGGTTATGTACGGGACGAAGTCCTTGCGTTTTCGGGGCGACGTAAATCGCTCGGGGGGACGCTTCCGAGGTCCTAGAGAATCCTAGAGAGCAAGAAGAAGGAAGAAGGAGATGAATGGAAGGAATCTAAATGGAAAGAAAGATACGGACCAGTGGATTGCACCATGGCGGACATGAATGCCTCCCCTGCGGATGCGACATCGCCTGTGCAGGTCGGGAGGGCATTGATGTCTCCCAGTGCGCGCGGCCGAATTGCGAGGCGATTTCTTTTCCATTCGAATGGCCATTGGCCGTCATTTTGGCGACCTCGTGACTCGGCTAGCACAATTCGTCTCACTTTTAATATGGCGGACACAAGTTTGAAATTACTTGACGTTTCCGTGACGAGGCAGGTCCTCCGGGAACCCTCGGGAATCGAATTTTAGAATTTTCTACCCGCGGCCCGTTTCGTTAATCCAATTACCAATACGGGATTTCATGTCGCTAGAGACGCCCGAGATCGCTTGATCTTTATTTTAATATATTCGACACTGATCTGGATTTAAATGGATATCTTAGAAATTGATCCCTGGACTTTGTTCGACCTGTTAGGCGACGTTTGTACACGGCTTCCTGGCGAATCTACGCCGGGGTTCTGGTCTTAAGGTCTTATGAAAGGGCTGGTCTAGGTATATCGAGACGCGGAAAGAAATGAAATTTCATGAACATCGCGCGGCTTACTTAAGACCTCCATGATCACGCACTGAAATTTCAAATGACTCGGTGCTGAAAAGGTTGGAGAGAAATTTTATAAATATTTTCACAGTTTGTGTATGTATGGAATTGTCCTTTCATGACACCTTAATGATTGTTAGTACTTCGGGGGTACTTAGAGCTGTCGTTTTACTATGTCGAGGAGCTTTCTTCCTGAACGAACCTTTTGCAACTTACGATTAGCATGTCTGGTACAGGGTAACGGAACTGTTGTTTGATAACACTTTTTCACGGTATCAATTGTTGGGGAGAATTAAATTAAACTGTGAATAAAAATTACCACGGCTGGTCGGAGGCTGTCGGTCATGGGACTCAATTTCCACGTAATAATGCGATGTGTTTTTTAATTTTTTTTTTTTTTCTGAGATTACCCTAATCTCTTATCACGGAATTCAGGATTTTCAATTGAAGACAGGAGTTCTGTAAAACCCTGTACTCGCGTATATACGTGTACGTGTATTTACGTGCTGCCAACAGTTAGAATAAGATTATCCATCCGTAGTGATAGCATTTCTGCTTACTGATAACGTTAACCCTTTTTAATCTCCATATGAGGGGACTCGGTTCGTACAAAATTCCCACATTTTGCAAAAGCCTGAAAATACTTTTACCCTTAATTACCCTACTTACGATGTACTTACTTTCCTTCGGAATTCCCGCCGCCATGAAAAGTGTCAATCGTGAGAGATGAAAGAAATTATTCAAAACTTGCCTGCACTTTATCAAAGTGCTAGATAAAAAATCCACTCACAAAGTCCAATAACCCGATATCATATGACAAATCTGCTCTGACGTGAACAATTGCTAACAATAATGGTCACAAGGGAAAAAAAAGGAAAAGAAAAGAAACAATGTGAACCTATCTCGTTTATTATACGTTCAGTATACGTTCACACGACGTGCCCCAACTTCCGTTTAATTGTTAACCTCGACCCGGCATCATAAAATCGTGACAAACCCTTCAAGACCTGCAAAGAAAAAAAAAAAGTGTCCACTTTTCATCCATTATAAAAAATAGAATTATCGATTCGCATTGTTGACGACCCCGAACCCCAAGAAAGAGATCCCGAGACTTCCGGGCAATCCTCCGGAATTGATAAGCCTATCAGCATCCGAAATGGACAAGTCCTGGAGAACGTGTCGCACCTAAAAATCCCTCGTCCTGAAACAAAGAAAAAGAAAAAAAAAATGTGTAAAAAATGAACAATGAAATATCAGAAGGAACTCCCCCTGTGCGGCGTTAGAAAGACGTGTGAAGTTAATGAGACGCGAAACTTAGCTGAATTAGTGCCACTCAGCGATACATACATGTTACGTAGTTTCCAACTTGTGTCTGTCATATGTTATACCACTCTGTGTTGGATGAGTGTGTATGTATGCGTCCATGTGTGAGAGAGAGCGTGTGCTGGTGGGTGCGCTTGATTTTAGTGTGTCTACGTCCATTGTTTCTGTATAACACCGCGCGGAACATTGCATTGAACGTGGGGCTAAGTGTTAGAAGGCCCGATTTCGGGAAATCCATGAAAAGGAGGAAAGAAAACCGGAAAACGCACCGATATCGGTCGACAACCTAACCTGCAATGTTGCGCGCGAGTATTGTTTTTGCCCGCCACGCGGGTTTTGTGACCGTGGTAACGCCCTTTCTTCTCGTTGGTTTTTTCCACACGTAGTGCGTTCTGGAGTTCCTTTACACCGCGGTAAGTTGCAGCTCAGCTCTCGCTAATTGTTCATGTCCAGCCAACTATGCTCGTCGCTCGTAAATCATCTTACATGTTTCTTCCGTATGATTCACGTCTTTGATCTTTAGTCGGTTAATTAACCCCCCTACACTCATTAGTTCCGCTCCCCGGCTTTTAGTTCCATCCTAAGTAACTGGGGAAAGTTTCAAAGACGGCGATTCTTCGGATAAATTGGGCAAACCTCGAAAAAACGACTCCATTCTTGGGTATCCGCGATGCTGCGGGAAGTCTGGAAGAGAGGGTGCTTCTAGAGTGGCGCGTGGTGGCCGTACCCCCCACTACCGGCCGGCCACGCCCACTCCGCGGCTTCCCAGGCGCGTGGTGGGGGGTACCGACTGTACAGTGGCATCCCCACTTACTAGAAACTAGGAAAATGACCGAGGAATCGCCGTTAGGGTCGGATTTGAGACTGGGTTTTCTTTGAAGCATGTTGCCGTGTGCGCTCATGTGTCTTTCTCTCTCTGTGTCTATCTTTCTCTGTTCCACGTTCCGTCTCTCCTTATGTCTCTCTCACTCTCGCTCTTTTTTACTCCCCTACTTTTAGTGCTTGTTTTGATTATCATTTTTTCATCGTTTTGTCGCCGTTTAAGCGTATGTCTTCCTCGCCAGAAACGTTGATTCATACACTGGGGTTGTCAGCGCCATTTCTCAGCGACATCTGCGGTTAACCGCGAGAATTAGTAGGACTTGATGAATGAGTGAGGGGTCCGGACAGAATTTACGCGTTCCTCCGACATGTCCCGCAGATATTTTGATTAATGCCCGAACGTTTTCTGCCCACCCGCGGGAGGACGCGACCGCGGCCATCTTGAAAAATCCGCCCTCGGAAGTGGAACTCCTTTTTTTATTTCCATTTCACATTAACGTTGAATAATTAACTCACGAAGTATTTACTCAACCCTGAGGAACGCGTTTGCGAAAATTCAACACACACGAACATTACAAATAGTTATTAATTCCAGAAAAATCTGAATTAATAACAGTTGCACTTTTCGATGTCCTCCCATTTTTTTTTTTCTTTTGGAAAAATCATTACGACGAGGTCATTGCTTTATTCCGTGATTAATTAACGAGTAATTTACTGTAAATAATTTAATTCGATGGCGGACTCGTTGATTAATTGGAAAAGTAATCACAAGGGCCGGGCGTTAATTAGTCTTAATTTAATCATGTTAGAGTAATTCAACCATTAATCCGGGCTTAATTGTTTCGCAGAAAGTAGTTAAACGGTCGAGTAGCTATTGTTTTGTCGCCGGTGATCCGATAATTAAACGGACGGTGTACAGAAATTATGAACGTTAAGTGAGCCTCCCTCGCACGTTCGGGGACATTCCATGACCTGTTCTCATTACGTTCCTGCAATATTCTGCGGAATATTCCGGGTACCTAGGGAAACTTCAAGAATGTCGCATTCGCGTGTTTTATGCCCTCCATATACCCTCCCCCCCGTCCGGACTTTGAGGGAACATTTGAAAAACATTTGCGCTCTGTCCGGGCAAGTCGTAACGTAGAGGTTAGGTCCGCGACATTTTTTCACCCGGAATTAAACAAGCACTGCCTCCGACTTACTCGTCCGGGTTCACTTGCAATTACTAACGAACAAAGGGAAACCATTGCCCCAAATCCTGGGTAACATATTCCGCCGAGTTGGGGCGTTAAAAAGTATTTCCCCTGCGCGCTTTCTAGAGGAAAACGCGAACGGTCCGCCATTTTGTCGAACGCTTTGACGCACCTCTGATGTTAAATAAATTCACCAAGGAAGATTTATTAACCCCTTTCTGTTTATTAACGTGTGCGGCACCTTTTAACGTCAGATTAATCCTTCAGAGAAATTTAGATACTCGGGGGTGCCATAGTTCAAGTAAAGAGACCTGATCTTGTCCGAGACGCAACCTCGTCGCTTCCTAAAGAAATTCCGGAAAAATCCCAATCGAAGGGGCCGTGTCTTTATTTCTAATTTTACTACTTTGACGCACTTCTGATGTTAAATAAATTCACCAATATTTATCAACACGCACCTTTTAACGTCAGATTGATCCTTGATAGAAATTTAGATACTCGGAGGTGCCATAGTTCAAGTAAAGAGACCCGATCTTGTCCGAGACGCAACCTCGTCGCTTCCTAAAGAAATTCCGTAAAAATCCAAATCAAAGGGCCGTGTCTTTATTTCTAATTTTACTACGTACATTTCTGTGGAGAAAATTGATATTTAAATGAAAAACCGCCATCGCTAGTGTATGCACCAACGTAGCTGGTACTGTGTTACCTGGAGCTGTAAATAGCCTCTATATCCCACATGTATCATGTTGTTTCTCTGTGGTATCCCGTGACATGTCGACAGATTGTCAGTTTCGTTGATTGTCTTGTACACCAGTACCCTCTAACAACGTTTAACCCACCCTGAGTAGTGCAAAGCTAGTTACCAAACGCGACAACGCCGGTCTTGATTGTTGGTACCCTGGGTTGCCGGAACCAGGACCCTCACATGGCATAACGATATTCACCAGATCTAGTGACATGTTCTAGCATCCGTACACTGCCGACCAAATGACATGCCAGCTCACCCTCGATCCCTGATAAATCTTATTTCTCTCTCATACACACCCTTTTCGTTCCCTTCTTTACGTTCTTTTCGCCGGTCCTCCAGCTCGCCCGACCGCGTCTCTTTACCCAACGGACCCACTTTTAACGTCCTGCCTGCAGTTAATTAGTGCCATTACGTTATATTCGGTTGACGATGCGATACGATACCCGGGAAATCGGTTCGTCCAGCTTGTGGTTACGAGAACATCCAACGATCCAGCCTCCACGCCCTTTGTCTGCGTCTGTAACACCGTCTACTTTGTACCAAGACTCACCTATACCATCTTCCCTTGTCACCTGGTCAATATACCTCGAGTACGAAGTCAGAAGAGCTCTGTGTCTGTCTTTGTCCCGAACCCGTCGAGACGGAAGGAATAAAGACGAATTGGAGGAAATTAGTGCTGGCTAATTCGGGCCGGTGCATATCTGCTCTCTACACCGGTCCCATCCCAGATCGGATTTAAAAAGACCGCCGCGGATGTCTTTCTATCTCTCTCTTTGTCTCATTCTTTCTCTATTTCTTTCTATTTCCAACTCGGAGGCGCCGATTACCTCGAAAAAGGACTTCTTCCTTTGCGGGGGTGCTGGAAGAAAGGGAGGGAGCGCTCCCTCGAGGAAGGGGACCTGCGGCGGCCATCTTGCTTTCTGCAATTCCTGCGGGAATTTTTAACTGATCTTAACACTAAATCCACGATAACTGTTATCGCCACTCGCCAGTTTTGTGCCCCTGGGAGCAAGCTACGACACGATCTCATTTTATGCCACTTTTTTATATACCATTTCCCTACGTACTTTCACATAATGTTACGAATTGGATATTCTTAACACATGCACCTTAATTCATATTCAAGGCATCGAGTTTATGATTTTACTAAAGATACACGAATTTTAGGAATAATTTTAACAGTGTACTTCGAAGATAGTATTATTGTTCGGCGGTAATTATTAACAAATAGGAGATCCCGTATGTGAGGGCAGCAACGAAAGATGGCTGCCATTCCTGTCCCTTATTTCTCGAGGTTAATTTCTGATTTTTAAATCGCTAATTTACGCTCGTCCCTTTATTCCATCCATGTTGCGTTGTCTCCATTTTTTATTTTCTTTTTTTATTTATTTAAAAGCGATCGTCGGTATTTTCGGAAACCGGTGTCATCCATGATAAGGCGAAGTTTAGGAGGGAATTTGGCAGGCTCGAGGTGACTTTTTTACGTGATTTCAATTAGAGATTTGCGAAATTGCGACCGCGTTGTTGATTATGAACAACCAGTCTTCCGAGCCGGGAACACCACTCGGCCGGTTATGTTCATTTATGTTCATTTTCTACCTTCTTTCAGTTGTCATGATTTCTAGGTTGGTGTTCGTCTTACAATCTCTCGATGTACGTTAAGGATTGGTTTATCGTTCTTTATCGTGGTCTAGATTTGTCGTAGTGAGGACGGAATGCCTGCAGACACCCTCTTTTGATCCTGGAGGATGGCGGGATTAAATGAACTTTCTTTCAAATAAATCCCCAGAGGAGGAAAGTTTCATGGATTCGACTTTCGCATCCCCTTAAAGATATCTTTTATCAGAAGATTTCATTCCTTGGGGAATTAATCGAGTAAATGCCAGCCCAGAATTCACCATTTCATTTTATAATTCATCCAAAGGTATTGTAAAATGAAAGAAAAGAAAAAAGAGACAGAGAAATGGCCGCGATCCTCCAGGAAGCAACCACACCCTCCTGTTCGCAATTTCTGATAAAACTGGCAAATATACAACAATAGATCAGAAACATAAGCATAGAAGCTTTTTGCACAGCGTGACAATGTTTCAGGTATCATGAGTAAAGGATTTGTCAATGTATTTCCAATAGTCTCGATAATACTTATTTTTTCAACAGGAGAAGGCCAAGCGCGGATGTCCTTACCCCGCTGGAAAATTGAAATAAAAAGAAAAACAATGATAAAACACTAAAACAATCCCGAGGAATCAGCATTTCCAAGTGTAAAGTACTTTTCTCTTTGGCAGGGAATCGAAGAAAGCACCGAAATCCCCGGATTTTTCCATCGAGATTTATTTTCTTCCAGACGACGCGCAACAAAATGGCGTATCGAAGAGTAATGCTCGTCGTAGTGAGTGTCGTTACTTTTCCGCTTCCTGGACGATAAAGGAAACAATGAAAAAAGCTCGGCTCAGCAATAAATGGGCCAAGGGCCATCGCATACGATTTTCATATGCCCTAGTCATAAGGCGTTGGCCGATAAACGGACAGCCGTAAAGCTCTGGCCAAGAATAAAAGGAAGATGGCCGCCATCTTGCCGGGAGACCATAAGGACGAAGGGTCGATCTAATCCTGTTTTACAGGCGCGAGGTCCTCACACTTAGGAATTACCACCTGTAAATTACATCCTAGAGAGACAACCCAACCTAACGACGACATATTACGGCTTAGTCGGGCTTTTTAAACCGCTTTTTTCTTATATTTCTTAAACGACCGCCCGCCGAACCTCTCCGCTCTTTCTAGTTAGCTGGTTCTGAAACTCCTTGGACAAAAGATATGTATATATTTAACGGCGGGAAAAAATTGCAACGAGGGCTCGACAGCTTTTCCTTCTTTTTCAGGTACTCCGTTTTAAAGGGCCTGGGAAATTGGCAGTAAACAAAGGAAAATGAAATGCGCGTTAAGGCGATGTAAAAGGCACTTTTCGACGGTCGGTTGCGCGGGTTCACTTTTCCCTTTTTTTTTTTTTAATAGGTGAACCGATTCTTCTGATATTTTTACACGTGATCGGGGAGATGCTAAGACCGTTTTTCACGGTAATGATAAATTATTTATGGAGGACAATGTTTTTTATTTAATGTTGATCAGAACCAAGTGTCGTATCCTTTCACGTCGCCGTAACTTTCATTAACTCGCAGGTCCCGCTTCGAGAAGGTGAAAGAAATTTCAGGATTATTATGAACATTCCTATTGTTATCCCGAATATTTCTGGCAATGTCGAAAATAACATTAACCCCCTTTATTTAATCTTTTTACTTTATGCCGCGTTTAACAGCTTGCGAGGAGAATAAACAGGAAACAACTACAACGGACGCAGTCGTTCTGGATAAATTATTCAAAAAGTTATGAATATTCATTACTCATGATACCTGAGGCGTAAGCGCCGTGAATGAAATCCCAGGGATTCTTTAATTACCGTCGACTCGATTGCGAGTAATTGGTAATAAATGGCTCGCAAGAAATTGCAGAAAAATTTCGATAAACCTCCGATGAACCGTTAATAAAAAAAATTAAAAAACGCAATTACAACGAAATGCCACAGTATATACATTATCTCATTACGTCGACACACATAATCGCTTACCAATTGTTCAGCTTAATACTCCAAGTTTATTACAGGCATCCATTTCTAAATTTATTACATTACTTACGTCTATACATGCCTGCATCGTGCAGCGCGTACCTGTAATGAGTAATTACCCGAAAATATCCAATTTTAATAACAACCCCTTCGAGGAATAATTACTTGACTGAAGTACATTTTTTTTTTTTTTCGGCATTCATTCCAGTCAAATAATTATTCTTTGTATTAAACAAACATTTCTTTGCTTCGAGCAGGAAAATCGGAAAACTCGATACGCAGACTTTTCCGGCTTTCAAAGGCGAATTGTAAATGTTGCACCGGGTTTGATGTCGAAATAAAAATGCAAAACTGGTAATAGCTGTAAAAGCTGGTGCCGTAATGCACGTGGAACAAAAAGGAAGGAAGAGAAAAAGTGCAAAACGTAATCCGGGCAGAGTTACAGGTACACGCTGCGTACGTGCACGAGTTTTATTTCAATACCTTGCCTCGGGTCGAGTATTGTTTAATGGCAAAAAAAAAGTCATTCTTCTCACTCCCTCTGATACTCTTTTTATCCCTCCGACTCTTTCTTTCTCACTCTTACTCTTGCTTTCTCTCTACATTTCAATTTCTATCTCTCCCGAGTTCACACTTGCTCAGTTCTTCTCTTTCCCCGTAGATGCAGTCGGAATGAAAATCAGTTATGGAAAAGATAATAAATATGAAATATTGCAAACTTTTAAATAAGACATTTCGAGGGAAGGACTCTTTGACTACGATTTTATTATTTAAATTTGAGGGAAGGAATTATTTACTATTTTAATTCTTTCCCCGGCGAGGATAAGAGTCTTTATCTTGATGTTAAATATTAAATATTAATAAAGTCCGAGTGGATCGACGGGGAATTCCGAGTTTTAGAATATCACCGATTCATTACTGAAGCTGATTAATTCCATCGGTCAATTTAAACGGCCATTGTCGATGAAATGTTTTCATACAATAATTAATCTTGCCACTATCCAAAGAAATATATTTCATAATTTAAAGAATAACCACTTGGCTGTAATGAATTGTCATTATTCCGAAGAGAGAAATTTCATCCAGTTCATTTGAGTGGAATTATTGTTCCTTTAATTGACAATTAAATTTCATTGCATCCGGTGCCTTTCTCAGGGTTCATGATTCGCCTTGAAGAGGCCCTTAAATTATTAAATAATTATACGGAGCGAAGATATGTATCTCCGCCATTGTTTCATAATTAGTTCATAAATTGCGTGATTTCTGCAATTAGATGTGGAGAGAAATCATTGCTTGTTTCCCGACAATGGTATTGATCCTGATTATCGGCTTCACTATTTGAACGGTCTTTCGAATTGTTCATGATCTTCGTTCTCGAATGATATGAAATGCTTTGTAACAGCCGAGTTGCGGTGATGCGAGGTCAAGTAGTTACGGAGCAAGGACTTGGAATTGTCGGCATCAGAGTTTCCGTCGACAAAAACGGCCGATTCGGGTTTACCCTGACAAGATCCGATGGCTGGTGAGTATGAACTCTAAAAAAATGAACAACGAACAATCATCATTCTGTAACACTAACAAAAATTTATTAAAAGACTTAGAAACCCACTGTTAAGCATCCTAAATGCCCTGCAAGTTGTTGTACCAAGATAATTAATTTGACGGCAAACATTAACATCCAATGTTTATGAAACTTTTCTCTCCGCACCGAGTGTATCATATAATATGAAACTTTACAATATAAATACGAAGGCTATAAGGAAGGCTTATGAAATTTTCTTTTCTTAAATATCTATACAAAAATTGTTGAAAAATTGGAATTTAATTAATGTCAAAACGTTCATTAGAGTCTCCACATTCGCTTAGAGAAATTTCAATTAATCGAAAAGTTTCATAAACCTCTTTGGCGCTTTTAATACCGCCTTAAGTGCATCTACAAGTGCGGTGCGAAATTAATATATGTACACTGGGAGACTTCAATGCCCTCCCATCCTGCATAGGCGATGCCGTATCTGTAAGGGAGGCATTCATATCCGCCATTGTACACGGGAGTCTCGATGCATAATTTGTAATGAATCATTGCTTAACGGGGCTTTTAATGTGTATTCGTAGAGGTGTTGAGAAGGGTGAAAGTGTTGATAAAGGCTGATAAGCACTTTTCAATCAGGTTCGACGTCCTGGTCAACGGGGGTGGAGCGATCACGCTTCAATTCCAACGTAACCCTTTCAACCCTCTCACGAGGACGGTATTCGTGCCGTGGAATCAAATAGTAGTTTTACCCCCCATCGTAATGACTATCAGCGAAGAGGGGGAAACATATAAATCGCATAGATTACCGAGTCCAGCCGCGGGTAAGTATTCCAGGTTTTACTTGCGCCTAATCCTGCCATTAACCAGATTCGGGATTTAATTTACCGAATCGTTGCAAACTTTACAATTTAAATGCTAAGACCCTAAGGAAGGTCCTGACACCCATGAAATTTCATTTCCTCTGGAAAATATGTTTATATACTACCTTATGGTTTAATAAAAAATGAAATTTCATGATGGCGTCACGAGCCTCCATGTTCAGGTTGTGATGTTTGAATCGATTCGGTACTCTCAGTTTGAGAGAAGTTTTAGGAATGACACTTTTGCATCCCCTTAAAGCGATCTGGTTCCGGTCTCTTTATGGATGTTTTCGATTGTTTCACCAGGCTTCCCAAGTCTGTCCATGGGGTTGTTCGGAGAACATGGACCCTGTCTGGAACACGACCATGAAACTCTTCGTCCGATCATAGTTGGAACATGGATGCCGGAGAAAATTGGAGGGCTGCCTGGAAAGAGTCTGGTGTTTGCGGAAAGTCAGGTGAATTTTTATAAATTAATTCATTAAGACGAAACTCCTAAGTTGATCATCCCGGGATGATTGTTCTCCACCCTCGAACGTGGCTGAAGAAAAGGAAACCTTGCCTTGCAGATCGTCCAGGAGAGCATCCCTATCCCGGGATCAAATGTCCACCTAATGTACCAAAGCAGCCAAGCCCCAGGTTACCTGTCCACAGTCAGGATGCAGTTAACAGGAACAACCATACCCAAGTCCTTGACCCACGTTCACGTTTACGTGGAGATCGAAGGATCGGTTAACACGAAAACCTACGAGGCGGATCCCAACCTGACGCACACCTTCGCCTGGAACAAGCGAAACGTGTACAAGCAGAAGGTGTACGGCGTCGCCCAGGCGAGGATCTCCATCGGGTACCAGCACTCCACGTGCCCATCCATCATCTGGGAGACCCAAACAGCGACGATGCAAGGATTCGACGTGGACATCTCCGAGATCGGAGGCTGGGGCCTGGACATCCACCACCATTACAACTTCCACGAGGGAATCCTGCAAAAGGGGGACGGCTCCACGTTGCACTTCAAACAGTACCCAAGAACAGTGAAGGTGGTGATGGGCACCGGGATGCAGAGGAACCTAATCTGCCAGAACTGCGACGGCTTGGCAAAGGACGCTAAATTGTTGACGCCAATTGCGCTGACCAGCGGATCGGATGGGAGCATCTACGTAGGGGACTTCAACCTCGTCCGTAGGATCACCCCCGAAGGGAACATCTACACCGTGCTGATCCTCAGGCAAGTACTGCACCAGTGTTGTACAGACGGTCCTAGGTTAGACTAGAGACGCCTAAAACATGCCCCGAATTGAAATTTCCAGTGCGACCCAAGTTTCCTACCAGTACTACCTATGCGTCTCCCCAGCCGATGGGCACTTGTACATCAGCGACCCCGAGAAGCATCAGATTCTGAAGACTCTCTCCCTGGACCAAGTTCCAGACCCCAGCATCAACATCGAGCCAGTGGTTGGAAGTGGGGAGCGATGCATCCCCGGGGACGAAGGGCACTGCGGAGACGAAGGCCCAGCTATTAGGGCGAAACTAGCTCACCCAAAAGGTATGTACCCGGAATTGTCATCCATAATCCCAGCCCAACACCGGGAAACATCACCGTTCGCAGGAATCGCCATCGCCGCCGACAAGACGATGTACATCGCTGATGGCACCAACATCAGAGCGGTGGATTCCTCGGGGATGATCCATACGTTAGTTGGTCATCATGGGCACCACAACCACTGGTCACCAGCACCTTGCGTGGGTGCGGTTCCTGCTCACCTAGCCCAGCTCCAATGGCCGACTGGTCTAGCTCTGAGTCCCCTGGATGGATCCCTACATTTCATCGACGATAGGCTCGTTCTGAAGCTGACCAGCGACCTGAAGGTGCGCGTCGTGGCGGGGACCCCGCTGCACTGCACCAGCAACGCCAACACCGGCGACATGTCCAAAATGAACGCAACGATGGCCAGCAACGCAAAGAAGCCGGACGAAGTGTTGGGTTCCGTCCTGGCGGTTGGGTTTAGCCCAACCGGAGACCTGTACATTGCGGATAGCGACTCTCACCGAGTTAATTCCATCAGAATCGTGGATTCCTCCGGGAAGATGTCCTACTACGCTGGCCAGCAGCAAGAGAGGCTGCGGGGTCAGTGCGAGTGCAACAGCACGACTCCCAGCACTAAGGATCCGGATTTCTGCACCTGTACCGATGATGCCAGCAGTGCTGAGACGTTGCTGTCGTCCAATGCCAAATTCACCACCATATCTGCACTTACGGTGTCGCCTGATGGGGTGTTGCATGTGGCTGATCAAGGCAGTCTTCATATCTTGGCCCTGCAACCTTATCTTCCTAACCATGACGAGACTGGGGAGTTTCACATCCCGTTTCCGCCGTCCAAGGAGGTCTACGTCTTCAATCGCTATGGCCAGCACGTTGCTACGAAGGACCTCACCTCGGGCAAGACCAGATACGCCTTCCTGTACAGCAAGAACATCAGCTTTGGGAAGTTGTCCTCGGTCACCGACAGCGCTGGGAACAAGATTCGCTTCCTGAGGGACTATAGTAATGTTGTCAGCTCCATTGAAAATACTCAGGACCATAAGTCGGAGCTGAAGATCTCCGGCGTGGGGTTCCTGGTGAGACTGTCGGAAAGAGGGAGGTCCATTCTCACTTTGGACTACGATAGCTCGACTGGACTGCTCACGAGTCGATCGCAAGTAAGTGCAGATGTGGATTAATTGAATAATTGATGGACGGGTGTCTTGGAGTGGGATTAATGATGCTATCTGACTTCCAGGGCGGCGAAACCTGTATATATAATTACGACGGTCTAGGACGCGTGACGGATGTCATCTTACCAACCGGAGAGACAATAAAGTTGACTTCCAGCTTGTCCGACGAGGAGGGACTGTCGGTGAGAATATCGGCGCCTCTTCAAGCTCTAGCCAAAGGGGACAAGCAACGATTCATCGGATACACGATGAAGAGCGAGAAGTCGAAAACACTTACGATCACTGACGGTAGGTGCCGGCATTTTGTTGAAAGAAAATAAATAAGATTTACATGTTTCTCCTCGCTTGTATAACGAAGTCCCGTGATTTTTTAATGTCTTGTTCCAGGCACCAAGGTTAAAAAAGCCACGGCATTCACCAACAGCAGTTTGGAAATGTTCCTTCCTGGAGGGGGCAGGATGCTGACGGCGGCCACTGCGAAGCATCCGTTGCTGGAAGCATCCTTGCCAGTGGAAGCTGAAATGTTGCCGATGTGGAGTTACCAGGTGATGACTCTAGGAGAACTCACGAATTCAATGTCCACGGTGTACAGCCTCGTCGGGGACGTGAGCCACTTCCAGCAGACGCTGAACCGGGAGATCTGGGTGAACGACACCAGGGTGATAGGGATGGAGTTCGAGCAAGCCTTCAGTCGCGAGACCTTCTACGACAAGGCAAGGATTCCGCTTCTGACGGTGACCTTCGACCTGGCGGGACTGCCGCTAAACTGGCACCCCCACGAGCACGGTCACAACCTGAGCATCAGCTACGACAGCTTCAATCGCCTGAAGAGCTGGAAATGGGGTCCATCGAGCGAAGAGTACAGCTACGACCGCCATGGCCAGCTATCCGAGATCAGCACCCAAGATGGCACCGAACGGTACATCTACAACGACTTCAACATGCTGTCGAAGATCACCTTGGCCAGCGACCGGCACTTCTCGTTGCAGTACGACGACGATGGAGGCCTGCGACACATCATCCTGCCTTCTGGAACGAAACATTCCTTCTCCTGCCAGGCCTCCCTGGGTTTTTTAAGGATCACCTACACCCCTCCCGGGAGTTCCAAAGCCTACCTTCAGCACTACAGTCACGATGGTCACCTTCTTCAGACGGTGTTCCCTGGCGATGGTGCCCGGATAGTGTACAGGTACCACACATCAGGCCAGATCGCCGAGGTGGTCCATGGAGATGGAAAGAGCGAGATCAGGTACATGGACAACGGACTGCCATCGGAAGTCATACACACGGAAAGGGATGTGGAGTACAAGTGGGATTACCAGTACAATGCTGGTCTTCTCGTGGAGGAGCGGATCGACTTTGGAGCCAAGACCAGTCTCAGCAACGCCAAGTTCACCTTCGACTATGACTCGAATTTCAGGGTCGTGGCTGCTCAGGGCAGGATAGGAGGTCAGACTCTTCCTCCTCATGTGTTGGCCTACAACTCCAAAACGGGGACCTTGGAGCAGATCGGGCAGTTCAAGGTGACGAAGCCCCAGCCGAACGAAACCACCGTGTTCGATGGTACCGCCATATTCTCCAGGATCACCGACGGTCGGTTCCTGGAGATCCAGGTGACGGTGACCATCCATCGACTGGAGGTCTTCCGCATGGAGTTTGGCCATGACTCCCAGGGACGCATCAATCAGACGAGGACGTACACCAGGAACGTCGGGGTGAACACTTACACGAACGTTAAGAACTACACTTGGGACTGCGATGGTCAGCTGACTGGGGTGGAGGCGCAGGAGCCTTGGGGCTTCAAGTACGACGACAACGGGAACATGTTGTCGTTGACCTACAGGGGGAACACCATCCCCATGGAGTACAACGCCATGGACAGGATCGTCAAGTTCGGCGAGGGCTTGTACAAGTACGACAACAGGGGCTTGGTTGTTCAGAACGCTAGAGAGGAGAGGTTCAACTACAACGCCAAGGGCCTTCTGATTCGAGCCACGAAGAGAGGACGCTTCGACGTGCGCTACTACTATGACCACCTAGATCGACTCGCTACCAGGAAGGACAACTACGGGAACATCACCCAGTTCTTCTACAACAACCAGCAGAAACCACACGAGGTCAGCCAGATCTACAGTCCCCGAGACGGGAAGCTGATGTCGCTGGTGTATGACGATAGAGGATTCCTCATTTACGCACAAGTGTACAGACATAAATACTACATAGCTACCGATCAATGCGGGACGCCGATCATGATCTTCAACCAGTATGGCGAAGGCATCAGAGAAATCATGCGATCCCCTTACGGACACATCGTCTACGACTCGAATCCTTACCTATACCTTCCCGTGGACTTCTGCGGTGGTCTCCTGGACCAGGTAACATTTTTTTATGCGACACCTTTTGACCAATGATTTTCCGTATAAGCTGCCAAGTATTGGCCATGAAATCAACATTTGATCGTGACATCAACTTTGACCCATAAACCGAAAAGGTGAAATCCAACGCTTCGTTCCAGGTGACGTCACTGGTGCACATGCCTAACGGAAAGGTTTACGATCCCCTGATTGGCCAATGGATGTCCCCGCTTTGGGAGAACGTGTTGGACCGACTGGAGTCGCCAACACATTTGCATCTGTACAGGTTCAATGGGAACGACCCCATAGATGTCAGGCAGACGGAGTACCGGACGCAGCCAACAGGTAAGTCAACAGATCATGGTCTGGATCCAGAATCAACAGAGAGCACCTCAAGCCACGTCCTTCCCATTCCAGACCACGTATCCTGGCTGTCGCACCTGGGGTACGACCTGAAGAGCCTGGCGCCCCAGCTCTTCCCAGACGAGCTGCCAGGCATCCAAGCCCCACCTCCCCTAGGTCCTGGTGCGGCGACCTTCAGCACCAAGAACCGAACCCGCCACCTAGGGGTGCAGTCAGGGTTCCTAGCGCACATCGCACAAAGGCATTCCGGCGACGCAGCAGGATTGTCGGCTCCACCTAGGTCAGCCCTGAAGAAGGACACCCGGGACCTGATCCCAGTTCGTCTAGGAGCCGCCTCGGACCCACCCTTTGGAAAGGGGATCCTAGTATCTCGCACAGCCGGCGGCCAGGCAGTGGTGTCCAGCGTGTCCTCCGCCAACACCATCTACAAGGACGTCTTCACGTCGGTGTTCAACCAGTCTTACTTCCTGCCGTTCACGTTCGTGGTGCACAACGCCCAGCAGGACGCCTTCTACTTCGTGAAGGAGGAAACCTGGCGAGCCAGCGAGGACCGGAACCAGCTGAAGCGCCTAGGAGGCCAGGTGAACACAACCTTCCACGAGAGCGAGAACGGCAGTGGTAGCAGCTCCCTCATAGACGCCAAGATCCACACCCCGAGTGCTGTGGTGAACCTGCGGTATGGAACCACGGCCGAGAAGGAGAAACAGAGGCTGTTGCACCACGCGAAAAGTGTCGCCATCCGCAAGGCCTGGCACCGGGAGAAGGAGGCCCTGAAGACGAACGTCCTGACGACCATCGAGTGGATGGTCGTGGAGCAGGACGAGATCCTGAAGGCTGGCTCTGCCTCCAACTACGAGGGCGAGTACATCCACGACGCACAAGTCTACCCGGAGCTGGCGGAGGATCCGTACAATATTAGGTTTGTTAAGAAGTTCGCGGATCCGGCCAACAAGAAGAGGCGCAGGAGGAGAGAAGCTCCGGCCTGCAAGCTCTGGTGGTTGGACAGATTTTGCTAACTCGGGCCAGGACCGTCCGCGAGAACGATCTTCACGATCGGCTAGCTCTGTACGAGATTAGGCGCGATATAAAAAGATTTACATATACACGCACTGAGCGCGAGCGAGGGAGAGACAGAGACAACGAGAGAATGCGACGGTGCGAATGTGCGGAGAGAAGTTAAGCCGCGGTTAACGCAGCACTCTATTTACACACACAAACACATTGAACACTATCAAAAGTTTTATACCAAAGTCTATTTGTGTATTTCAAAGATGCCAAACACTAATGTTATATTACCGTAAATAGGGTATAGTGGTAAGACTTAGAATATGCGTGGTCCGCGATGATGTCCACGAGCTAACGAGACTGATCTAGAGGAGGACTCTGGACTCGCGACATCTCGCTCTTCGGCAACCGGGACTTTTTTCTACAACATGCAAGAAGTGGGCTTCAAGGACGCGGGATTGTATAGACGGGATGCACTCGATAAAGTGCGTCGAGTTAAACAAGAAAGCAGAGCGAGGTGCCGCGAGATTTCACCATGACCTGCCCTGACGGTGACGATCTAGAGACGTTCGTCCGGACTAGTCGAGTTCTTCGTCATCCGTGATCAGGATAGCCCGGAAACATTCCAAAAGTGCATTTTGGATGAACGTCTCCGGAAGTTTAGCGACCCCTGGGGCCGTCAGGGTGGCGGAACCGAGCACTCCTGGCCATTCGTTATCGAGGTGGGTCAAACGAGAGAACCTAGTCAATACATAGCTTTAGGTTGTCACGTAGAAACTAGTAAGATAAAGAGGAGAAGAAGGTCGCGACTCGTACCCGCACCGCCACCACGAGGGAGCTCGACGTGATAGATGGAGGAACGATTCGATTGGATGTCGAAGAGGTGATGATGGAGCTGATGATCATCAGCATTCGACCTGGGTGCCTCCAGAGACCTCGAACGATGATGAGGTTTCTATGGAGGCCTTCAGGTTGGAACACACAACCCACGTCGGCATGTTAATGAAGCTGATGATCATCAGCGTTCGACCTGGGTGCCTCCAGAAACCTCGAACGATGATGGGGTTTCTATGGAGGCCTTCAGGTTGAAACACACAACCCACGTCGGCATGTTAATGAAACTGATGATCATCAGCGTTCGACCTGGGTGCCTCCACAGACCTCGAACGATGATGAGGTTCCTATGGAGGCCTTCAGGTTGAAACACACAACCCACGTCGGCATATTAATGAAGCTGATGATCATCAGCGTTCGACCTGGGTGCCTCCAGAGACCTCGACCGATGATGAGGTTCCTATGGAGGCCTTTAGGTTGAATAACACAACCCATGTCGGCGCGATGGTGAAGACGATCATCAGCGTTCAACCTGGGTGCCTCCAGAGACCTCGAACGATGATGAGGTTCCTATGGAGGCCTTTAGGTTGAAACACACAACCCATGTCGGCGCGATGGTGAAGACGATCATCAGGGTTCCTCCACACACCTCGAGCTCCCAGGAACGAATGGACCGACCACTGGCTGGTTTCGGTTCTCGTCGCAGATTCGCGGGACCCCGCAGATTCCTACGAGCGGTCGCTGCGCCGCCGCCTCGCACACACGAGCTATCTTAACTTGGTCACTACGTTTAAGTGTTAGGGCGGGAGACTCGGCGAGATGTATCATAGCGGTGCTTGATGCGAGTGTGGTGGGGGATCTGGTGCAATGTCGACGGCGGGCCGAAGCGTACCGGCAGCTTAGTGAGACTAACCGTATTTTTAACATGGATGTATCGTACCCTAGGGCTAGCGTCCACGTCCCGAGAGCGCGCCGTGCGGTTCCTGTGTGTCCGAGGCCCTAAAAAGACTCCCACGACCCAGGAAAAAATCCAGAGCCAAAAAGGCATGAACTGGAGTACAGCCTCGCATTACCGACGCCTTTAAACCCAAACAACTGGAACTACCCACTGACCGAGTAACCACTCAAAGACACCACACAACCTTGACTCTAGAAGAACCCACGACACCGTGGTCCCTATCCAGCAAAGGTCCATTAACGGAGACGAAGGAGCTGGAATTAACGATGCCTTCGTATTCAAGTGACTCCACGTGGCTAACCTCAAATCGCACGGCCCTCTCCCCCGAACTCGTCGTTGTCGGTATACGTGCATGTACGCGCATATAAGGATCCCACCGAGGTATTTACGCTTCGCCGAGTGCCAGGGACAAAGGACCAAAGTCGCCATTCGTCCCTGGACTCTGGCGCGACCCGTCTGTGTATTATCTGGGCCAAAGCCTCTCCCGACGCAAATGGCTCCCCTCCTCGTCCGTCGCCGAAACGTTTCACGCCACGATTTGCATTCGGCTTGGTGCCCGGTCGCAGGAGCAGCATCTCCTGGTACCCAGACATCCTGCCGCGGCCGGGTGGTATTACTATTCAATGTATAAATAGAGGATAGGCAAGCTTCGTAATGTATTTTTGACTCAACGGTATTTAACGAAACTGCGGTCCAAGATGGCCGCCGAGGCGCGACCGTCGCGCGCTCTGCCGGTCGTCGGCTCGCTACGGAGACGTCCGGGATTTCGCCGCGCATCCTCTCGCGCGCATCTTCTCCTCTCTTCTCGTATTTTCCTCTCTTTTCTTCCTCGGATGGTACTTTGAGGTTAACTGGTCCATCTAGTCGTCCCTAAAGTGCCGTCTCACTTTTGTGAAACTTTTCACCGAGTTGAATGTACCGAATCGCTTTAAAATTCACTATCTGAATATGGAGGTCCTCGCGCCCTTTAGATTTAAATTCTGAGGTAATTTCTTTACGGCTATTCTCGACATTTATTATGGGAAATGAAGTTTCGGGAGTCTGGAGACCTTCGTTAGAACCTCCTTAATCACCTGTTAGAGTTTCGGATTATTCTACGCACCCGTTTGGAGAGAAGTTGTATAAATGCTTTCACGTTCCGAGATGTACAGAATGCCCCTTTCGTGTCACCTTAAGAGGCTTCGTTTATAAAGCTTTTCTCCGAGTCGAATCCACGGAATCGTTTCAAACTCCACAAAGTGAATATAGAGGCTCTAAGGAAGGTGCGGACGCCCATGAAATTACATTTTTTATATATAAAATTTTGCAGTGTCTATAAATAAATTAGAAAAAAGAATTGACACCACGGGGGGTCAGGACCTCCCTCATAGACCCCATATTCATATTGCGGAGTTTGAAACCATTCTTTACACCCGGGATTACCTGAATTAGAAATAGGGTTGACATAACCTCTCGTACACGGTAAATCTCCGGAAATGTGTTGTGTGGTGTGTTGGAAGTAATGGGGAAACTTGGTAGGAAGGAAAGGGAAAGAAATGCGCGGTAAGGTCAAGGAGAGAAGGAAGGGCGCGAAAGAAGATGGCGCACCTTGGAATAAACGGAGAAGGGATGCATTCCACGTTTAGTCTATCGTCGAATTAAGATACTATGGGAATCAAGGTAAAGATCGTAAACGGGGGACAGGACGACCGAGCACGGCTCAGCTGCACCGGCTACTCGATCGCGAGGTAACCTAGGTAGACGCTAATTCGCCGCTGATGTCTAATTGTTTACCGTCACGTGTCGCTGTAAACCTGAAACAACCTAATAACGATATATTTTTATTTATACGATCTACTCGACTGTATTTACTGTAAATAGTCACGATGTTTGCTATGATATGTCAGTCATTGGGCGAGACGAGACCCCGGAATCCCGCATCCCCAGGCGCCACCCTGAAGAGAGTCATCGTAGACCCCACGGAACCCAAAGCAAACGCGATCGGCCTGGCAGATCGTCAAATGTCAATACTAAAGTCTCCTGGTTGGTCGAATCTTCCTACGAGGAAAAGAAACCTAGTCGTAGTGGAGATAGGTATGCAAATGTCCTTGTACTTGGTGCGAAACGCAACCGAGTCCCTAATCCCAGTTCGGGTCGTTTCTTTTCCCCTAGGAAGACTCCTTATGTCAATACTAACGTCTCCTGGTTGGTCGAATCTTCCTACGAGGAAAAGAAACCTAGTCGTAGTGGAGATAGGTATGCAAATGTCGTTGTACTTGGTGCGGACCGCAACCGAGTCCCTAATCCCAGTTCGGGTCGTTTCTTTTCCCCTAGGAAGACTCCTTATGTCAATACTAACGTCTCCTGGTTGGTCGAATCTTCCTACGAGGAAAAGAAACCTAGTCGTAGTGGAGATAGGTATGCAAATGTCGTTGTACTTGGTGCGAAACGCAACCGAGTCCCTAATCCCAGTTCGGGTCGTTTCTTTTCCCCTAGGAAGACTCCTTAGCGACCATGGTACCCTGGCATGGGGAATTACGAACCAGGAGACGTTTGTCCAGTAGCTTTACTCATTACGATACCCTGGAGATAACAACCACAACACCCGTGGAATTCCGAGCAACGCGATCAGCCTGGCAGATCGTCAAATGTCAATACTAACGTCTCTCTGGTCGGTCGATCCTTGCTGCGAGGAAAAGGAACGAATCCTAGTAGAGGACATACACGAGGGTGTACTTGGTGCGAAACGCAACCCAGTCTCTAATCTTTAGGGTCGTTTCTTTTCCCCTAGCGAGACTCCTACACGACCGCGGTCACACTCGGCATGGGGAATTACGATCCAACCGGCGTATGTCCAGTAACTTAAAACATTATTACCATTAAGTACAGTATATTAAGTGTTTTCAGAAAATATATGATCTATATATGATAATAAAAAAGGATAAACGTTTTACAACGTCTTCGGTCTCCCTGGAGGGGCCACACAGTCACTCAGCCGTCGACCGGTAAAGCTTGAATCTTTTCCGCACCCCAAAAGCGAAAAATAGACCCGCCGCCTGAAAGACCAGTTGTGGTTTTCTAGGGAAACCTTTTTAAAGCCATCCTAAGGGAAAATGGAGGCATCTTACAGCCATTCTTACCAGTCCTATCGACAGGAACAGCACGGACACCGCGACCGTGTGGATGTGGGACTTCAACAACAACACCGCACCTTTCAGGCACCCAGACTTGTACGCCACTTCTTCTGTCATGTTCAGGCACTGAAGGTTTATGGTGAGGATGTTAATAATCTTGTTAACTTACGCTTCATATCGCTGAAGAATTTACTCAACTGGAAGGAATTTTCCAGGGTATGTTACCTGCTCCAGGGACGCCGCACAACAACTTTGTGGGATCGCCATCCGGTACTCAGCCCAGTCTTTGTACGATTTGATCCCACAGCACTGCAACTGGGATGTACACACGTATGATGTTTTCTGATCCAGGTGTCTGGCAGTAGTTTTTATGTCATGAATTTTGAGCGCAATGGCATGTACTCACGTATTTCTGAGTGTTGTCCCAAGCTTCGGTGACCCAGTCCAACAGGTGGTAGTTCACGATGGAGCTGGTCATGTCTTCTCGGACCTTCTTCGTGATCTTCTCGAAGAAGGAGAAGCTCATTACCGCGCATATAAATATCACGCAGAGGGACACCGAGTGACAGAATATGTACTGGGGAAGGAAAACATATTTTGTCATGGAGCAACACATCGATTACATGTGGGGTGTTGGGTGCCAGTGCCAAACATATTTTGTCATGGAGCAACACATCAATTACATGTTGGGTGTTGGGAGCCAACCTCCTAAAAGGGATCACGGGGAGAAGAGGAAGTTCATAAAGATGTACATGAAGATACACATAACCAGGTATGTCATAAAGTAGGCACGACCCAAAATATAAAACCTTTTCCCAAGGGAACTGGAATTCCCGGTCTCCCCTTCGAAGAGGCATCACCTTCGCGCCATCTTGCCCCATCATGAGAAAATCGTCCGCGGGTAAATAAACGTGAATATAAATACTAAGTACAATAATAAGGAACTTTTTCCTCCTCTTAACAAACGCCACGATGCCCACGAAAGCAACTGCTGATGAGAAGATCCCCACCAACAGCAAGACCGTAACAAAGAGCCTCTGTCCGATAAGCCTGGACATTAATTTACTGTCGGCCAGCATCCAGATGGAGATAACAACGGCCGTAATCCCGGCGAGCTGGAAATACAAATTAATTATTATAAAAGCGAGAAGAAGGAACTAGTAGAGAGGTGGAGGAGTATATGTAAACGGCGCGAAACGCTGCCAAGTGCCCTTATCCAGAAATGGGTTCCCCAGACGTTGGAAGCGATCGAGGTCTACAGGACTCACGAAAATGGCGCCATTGAGGGAGAGGAAGGAAAACTTGAGGCACTTCTTGGGCAGCCTTCTGTAGGACAATTTATAGATCGGCAATCCAAGAAATTGGGACTTCTTGTCCGCGACAGCGGACTCTTCGCTGTCCGAAACGTTTCCATCTCCGGTGTCAGTGTCCGTGTCGTCGTCGTTGGAACTGTCCCCGCGTCTCATAATTCCGCGCAAGATATATTTCTGCAGAAACATGAATACACTTAGTTAATTAACATGCCGTCACGTCTGATTTACCTAGAGGGATCTGCGGTCAGTGACGGGGATTTGAGTCGGGCGAGCATTATGTCGGTCCTGTCAAAATTGCCGCCTAACAAAAAGGAATCTAATGGCGGCCAAGGACGGAGATGCTGCCCTCTGTGGCGAATGCAGAAGGCTAAGGGACTTGACACCAAGGGCGGCCCAACTCAGGGATCTATTGGAGAACTTTAGCGTATCGCGGTGTTAGTAGAAATAAATTCAGATTTCGCCACCCAGGGATGATTCCAAGGAATTCCCTGGTACTTGCGCTGCTTGTATAATGAACTGTACAATCTCATTAGTGTAATAAAGCGAGTTATGGAGTAATTACAATGAGTATGTTTAATTAGACGAACATGTCTAACAAACCCTCTATGCTTAGTCCTAATTGGGAGAAACTCCATGCCACCTCCTCGGTTGTCCTATGTTCCTGTTAGAAATCGAAAATCTCAACCCCTAAAATTTTTGCTCCGTGCCACCTCCTCGGTTGTCCTATGATCCTGTTAGAAATCNTTCCATTTGTAACAGGAACATAGGATAACCGAGGAGGTGGCACGGACCTTCTCCCGGGCAACAATTTTAAGGGTTGAAATTTCCCATTTGTAACAGGAACATAGGACAACCGAGGAGGTGGCACGGAGCAAAAATGTCAGGGGTTGAAATTTTCGATTTCTAACAGGAACATAGGATAACCGAGGAGGTGGCACGGAGTTTCTGGTAATTTTCAAGGATCAGGAATAGGCAATTAGACGGTTCGCTAGACATGCTTGTCTAATTAAACATACTCATTATTATTATTATTCCATAACTTCCTTTATTACACTAATTATTTTACAGTTTATTCACTACAATTAGCGCAAGTACATAAGTTCTCGAGCTTGTTTAAAAGAATATTAACAAATTGTGCAGTCTTGACGTCAGCTTCTTCTCTCGTTTCTTCAGCCTGAGATCTCGAAGAGTATCCGGCCATGTCCTGGGAGTTCGATGTAAAAAAAAAGGCAAGGATTCCCTCTGCTTCTCTCCGGAAATTCCTTGAATTCATCACCGGAAGCGACCTTCCTCTAATAATGTCTGAAATGAGATTAAAAGTATAATTACCACTTTGAATGGAAATATTATGGATATTGTTGAAGTATGAAAGTCAGATGGCGCTACTTACTATGTAGAGTAACGAAAATGATTTCAGGTTTCCCCTCTTCATAAATGTGTATACCATGGACATACATCACGGTAATATCGTTTGTACGGCTCGTGCATATTTATTTAACAAAGTCTAAGAGAAATTGAATGAGAATATCATTATTTAATTTATATTATCGGCGTTTAATAAATAATTCGTTCGTTTTGTCTGGAGGTTATACGTGTGAGTGACTTTACCTTTGAAACAGTGTTTTTTATTGCAAGTACCACAAACACTGATGGAATAACATTTATGTCATTTATTGTTAACAGTTCTGCAGGTTTCATATTTATATACGAACTGTAATTGTAGGAATGACTCGGTTAAAAATGTCGGACGACGAGATGGAGAGATTCGAGATAACGGATTACGACCTGGACAATGAATTCAATATCAACCGCCCTCGCAGGAAACTTACAAAGAAACAGCAGATGCTGGGTTAACTATCATGCAATAAACAATAATGCATGATTTTTTCCCCAAATATTTATTTCATACTTGATTTACCTGATTTTTTTATTAAGGTATCTGGGCGGACGACAGCGACGAAGAAGTGCCAATGAGACCGTCCTTCAAGATGTCCAGCAAAGTGCCTAAAAATTACACAGCGCCAGTAAATTTTGTTGCCGGTGGGATACAGCAAGCAGGAAAACCAGAAGATGAGAAAAATAAGGAAGAAGAGGAAGAAGAAAAAATCGGTAGACCTAGAAGAGAAGACGCGGACTACGTACCAAATAGTTCCAGGTAATACATTTCGATCCATTCTTGTAATTATTATGTGGCTATAATTAAGAAAATGATTAATTTTTATGTTTACGATTAAATAATAATGTGAAGTTAATTTAAAATAGGATAACTTTCATAGGAATACTTTCGAGCTCGTCTTGGATCACATCTAATACTTACATTCAATTATTTGCAGTGACTCCGAACCTGAAAGCTCCAGCAGCAAACAATCGAAACCATCGTTTTCCTTGAGTCTAGGAAGCGACATCGCGGGCTTGCGGAAGAAAAAAACATCGATTAACCCATCGTTAATAAAAAGCGGAGTCGGCAGCTGGGAGGTGCACACGAAAGGTATTGGCGCAAAGCTTTTGCTTCAGGTAGGAATTATTATAAACTATCTGTCGATTATTAGACCCTGTCCTGAACGAGTAACTTCAAATTCTAATAAACCATGAATATTCTAGATGGGCTACGAGCCTGGGAAAGGTCTAGGTAAACAGCTCCAGGGTATAAGTGCTCCCGTGGAAGCTCGACTCAGAAAAGGCAGGGGTGCGATAGGAGCCTACGGTCCGGAGAAGACTCCAAAGATCGTCGACAGAAAGAAAGACGACGAAGATGAGGGAAAAGAATTTAAGATGAAGCAATCTCAGTGGCGGAAGACAGATTCTGCATCGAACAAGAAGAAAGTGAAATACGTTTACAGAAGTGTCGACCAAGTGCTGGAGGATGGGAAGCTGCGACCGAATAGACAAGTTCCTCTTAATAGCGACATGACGAAGGTTAAAGTAATCGACATGACTGGTCCAGAGCAAAGAGTGCTCAGCGGCTACCATGCTATCGCAAGTGGCCAACAAAGACCTGATGATACTATCTTACCCACTGACAAGAAAGCCAAAATGAATTTCTCTCTGCCAGAATTGCAGCATAACCTCAATCTACTGGTAGACATGTGTGAACAGGACATCATCCAAAACGACAGAAGAACTCGACACTTGACCGACAGAATGGTCGCACTGGAGGCCGAGAAGAAGAACCTGACAAAGATCGTCGACCATCATGGTCAGTTGATAGGAACTCTGGAAAATGTATTAGCAGTTGTCGATAGACTAATGGACCAAACCAACGAGCTGTCATTGTACGAGACTGCGGAGGCTTTCAAGAATTTGCAGGACAGGTATTACGAAGAGTACAAGGTGTACGAATTGGGAGAACTAGCCACTAGTTTGGTTAGTCCTAAAGTGAAGGAATACTTGACTACGTGGAACCCTTTGATGCAATCGAAGCAGCCCATGGAATTATTCAAAGAGTGGAAAGGAATTTTGGAGGCTGGAAGAGGGACTCTTCAGAGAGGGATGCATCCATACGATCATCTTGTCTGGAACGCATGGATGCCTTCGATTAGGGGAGCCATACAGTGAGTACGCTTTCTCAATAGTATTACGTCCAAGAGAGTAACCTACTATATAATAAAAAAAATGTCCGTACCTGAAACTCCATTAATTGTACGTTCCAGGCACTGGTCCTGCAGACAACCCGAACCCTTGATCGAACTGATCGAACAGTGGATACCGCTGCTTCCAGGATGGATTCTGGAAAACATCCTGGATCTTCTGATTCTTCCAAAGCTGACGCTGGAGGTAGAAGAATGGAATCCCCTCACCGATACGGTGCCCATTCACACCTGGATTCATCCCTGGCTGCCACTAATACGTAGGTTATATTTATATATTAAATGTACCCTACGTTGCATATTTTAGAACTAACTCTAGGACACCGTTGTCTCATAGGTAATCGTCTTGACACTTCTATTTACCCAATCATCCGGAGGAAACTTGGATCGGCACTGGGAGGATGGCACCCATCGGATCGGTCAGCCAGGTTGATGCTTCAACCGTGGGCCCAAGTATTCCACAAAGGAGACATGGAGGCGTTCCTTGTGAAAAATATATTGCCCAAGCTCCAAGTGGCGCTGTCAGAGTTCGTTATAAATCCTCACCAACAGCATCTTGACCAGTGGAACTGGGTTTACGAGTGGAGGGAATTATTACCTCCTCACACGATGACTGGATTGCTGGATAAATTCTTCTTCCCGAAGTGGCTGCAAGTCTTGGCACTATGGTTGAATCACTCGCCTAATTACGATCAAGTCACGAATTGGTACATGGGCTGGAAGGGGATGCTGAACGACAAGCTCCTGGAGGAACCCGTCATTAAAGGTATCTACAGAGAATTCATAAGTCTCCGTAACACTTGGGTACAAAGATCGCATGAAAATTCCAGAACATTTACATATTTCTCATATGTTCAAGGAATATTAACATAATTTATGAATAATTTTTACAGAGCACTTCAAGAAAGCTTTGGACATGATGAACAGAGCCGTAGCGATGCCCCAAGGTCATCAACCAGGAGCCATGGAACAGGTGTCGTACTTGACAAGTTTAGAAAGATCACAAACACCTTTATCACAGGTCTCCATGTCTCAGCCAAGAATGGAAGTAAGTCATCGTGAGAAAAATGAGTACTGAATCTAATGTTAGTTCTGTAGCCATTTTTTAACAATTCATTTTTAATATTTAACAGAGACTAGCCGAAGCAGTGCGAACTGCATCTCAGATCCCGCAAGGATTTAAGGATCTGGTTCAGAAGAAGTGCGAAGAGAGAGGCATTCTCTTCATGCCGATCCCCAACAAGTACAGAGAAGCTAAACAGGTTTATAAAGTTGGGAATGTGCAAGCCTACATTGATGGAAATGTCATATTTGTATGTCATAACGGAGCAACTTGGCTGCCGACACATCTGAATGCTCTGTTGGACATGTTTGATATTTAGAGACCGCTGTCAATTGAGTACCAACATGTATATCAGTGTTATCTGTACTATTAACACGTACTCTGTGAACTTTTTTTACAATCTCGTGTAAATATTAAAGATCGCCTTGTTAAAAGCGCATTTGATAATTCATAAATAGTACCTAATATTTAATGAAAAGAAGTAAGTCCTACGTGGGATATTTTTCTTTAACTTCCCCAATTTGTTACATTAACTTGACGACAGAAGTATCGATGGAAAATTTTAATCTTTCATCGATTCACGTACAAACTTTACACAGAGGTTAGGAATACTGTTATAATATAGAATAAATATGGACTACTCCAGCGGAAGAGAGAAAAAATATCTCTAAAATAGCACGCAGGCTTTACTTTTTTGTAATATATACTTTTTGTGGTGTTTCTGGCAAGAAGAAGCTCTTTGTACTTACAGCAGTCTATTCTTGTTTAAAGGCTTTATGTTTCTACCTTACATTGCTAAGTGTACTCTATGAACGATTCAGTTTTATGCCTTGTGAAACGTTATGTGTGATTCAACTGGAATCGACACAATCGGTTTACAATTATTACAGAAAATATAGATATCTTTTTCGGCCCTAATGAATTAATAACGAGATTGGAAAACGAAAAGTCATTAACTTTAAATAAGTTCCGAGAAGTCAGTCTAACTGGTCACTTTCATTTGCTTATAATATACTTCATAGCAAAACATACGTCTAAGTACAAACTTTTTACGACATTCTATTATATCATCATAAAATATATTAGCTCTTTATATATGCGCGTTATATATATTCCCTTTGAGCTAGATTTGAAATTTCCTCTTAGTTATCACGTCATCGAAGTTATCGGGATCTCATCTTGAACCATTTCTCAAATACAGCTTTGTATAAAATTTAGTTTTTACCATCGTCGTCTTATATAATATTAACTACAAAGCGGTATACAAATAAATAAGAACGATCCAGAGATCCTCCCAAAGGATTACATTAATCAGTACGATTTCCCAGGCGTGACTATCAATAGCGTTAAAAAATGGATGCCTCGAGATAGTCTATGACCTGTTGACACGGCTTATTATTTGAATCCTTTGGTATCTTCCCGACTCTACCTCTTTTGTCTGTCGGTATTTCTCCCGCGAGCAGCAAGGTACATAAACGTCTCACTCTTTTGTCGGTAATACCGTGGAAGGACATGAACACTCGTTTACAAACGCGTATCCGAACATCGTTATTGTAAACGTAGTACTTAAAATTGCTATTCCTTTTCTTTGGTATAGGCTTACGAGGCTTTCGCTGCTTTATCGAGTCCGGCTCTATAAGACCTTGCAGAAACATATCTTGCTCGTCCTTTGTCTTCAACTCGTTGAAGTCTCGCACAAAGTTCATCACCATCTCGTCGCTTATTCGATCGAAGCACTGCAATCGACATCTAAAACAAGTAGAAACAAAACTGAAACCAACAAATTCATAAATATCGAGTATCCCATTCCAGATCTAACCTTAAACGAAATGGGAATTGCGATATTCAGAACTGTCAATAACCTCTAATTCTCAATATGACATTATCACATTTACGAGCTCAGCGGAGAATAAAAATATGAAAGTAAGGGACCATCGCGATAAGCAGTCGAAGTTTGAGGTTAAACCGGAGAATCTCATGCGTCATTTGAATATGACAATTGATTGTGACTAATTACATACCCGCAGCCGCCGTCCTCGTTATTCGTTTGTTCCATTGCGTCCGCTTTCTCGGAATCACTCGCCATTATTAATACCTCAAACGTTTACTCATTACAAAACACTCCAAAGAGCTACTGGAAGGTACTAGGGACGCGACGTGTCGGCCATCTTGGATGCAGTATCGTAAGCACTGAACCTTTTCACTCGCACCTTTGTTAAATAAAAAAAAAAAAGAGCCGCATATGGCAAAACGCTCCGTTAAATAAAAAGGAATTACCATCAAGAATAGTATTCCTGAGCGGAACGTATTATTAGAAGTCCTAATCTCATTAAATAATCACAAAGGTACGGATTTTCCGATAAGGTGATGAGAAAGAAAGGGGGTAAATCATTTCTGAATTTTTCTCGAAAGTGTGTCGAATTTTTTTGAATGTTTACCATGTAAATATGGAGGCCCTAGGGGAGAGCTAAGGCCCAATAAATTTGATTTTTATGAAGAAACTGAAAAATTGGAACAGAAAGGTGTGATAAGGAACTACGCATGCGCGTGGCTAGGCCCCTATATAAGGCCGAGCGCGCGCCCGGTCACCCCCTCAGAACGGCACCGACCCGCGAGCTGGATAGAAGGTGGAATTTTTAGGACGAGAGGAATTGTATCTCAGGACTTCAAGCTAAGTTCTGTCGAACTCGATGGCACCTGTTCGCCGATGCGACCTGATTTACAGACTGGTAACGAATGCAACACCGAAGGCACCGGGAGGAACGAGGAAGAGCAAGGAAGAGGACCCAACTCCTAATCGTCTCGTTGCATGTCGGCAGAAAGAACGGCTCGTGACAAAGGGAACAAAGGGACGGCGAGGGGGAGGGAGAGAAGGAGATGCTGCAGGGACAAAGAGGGAGGGAAGCCACCGGAGCGCATTTCGTCGCGGGTCTCTCCCCTTCGTCGTGGACGTCTTCCAAGGCTCTCCTCTCTTTTCCTCGGCCCGCCGTCGACTTCTTGTACGCGACCATTCCGATTCGGATTTTTCGTTTTCGTCGCAGCTGTCGGGCCCCGACAAGAAGTTGGACCAGCTGGTATACGCGGCGAAAGAGCGCACGGCCCGAGCTGGCAAAACCCATTCACATAGGTGCATGGCTTGGTGCTGGCCAACCTTTGTACATGTCCTTTGAGAATTGGTCGTCATTTATTTCACGTGATAACCTACGGGGCGATTTAGTCAGTCCTGGCTGCAAAATTCCTGGATGAAAAAATTCATTGAAGGTTCAGGCAGCAACATTTCTGGAAGAAAAAATTCATAGAAAGTCCAGGCCGCAAAATTCCTGGAAGAAAACATTCATAGAAAGTTCAGGCTGCTGCGGCAAGCAAGAAGAGCGGAACGCGATTAATTAAATATATTAAGACGCTTATCATCACGTATTATCTAAATATCATCTAAAAAATACTGAATTAAATTTCACAACGAAATAAATGAATGTAAATGTCCCATATGAGATTTTTCTGGTGCCTCGCAAAGCGTACTACCCACGCTCCCGGGCGGCCATCTTGATTTTCGCACATCGAGCAAGAGGAGCGAAACGCGTTAATTCTGCCGCGATTAATTAAATATATTAAGACGCTTATCATCACGTATTATCTAAATATCATCTAAAAAACACTGAATTAAATTTCACAACGAAATAAATGAATGTAAATGCCCCATGCGGGATTTTTCTGATGCCTCGCAAAGCGTACTACCCGCCCGGGAGGGCGGCCATCTTGATTTTCGCGTATCAAGCAAGAAGAGCGAAACGCGTTAATTCTGCCGCGAACAATTAAATATATTAAGACGCTTATCATCATGCATTATCTAAATATCATCTAAAAAATACCGAGTTAAATTTCACAACGAAATAAATGAATGTAAATGTCTCACGTGGGATTTTTCTGGTGCCTCGCAAAGCGTACTACCCGCGCTTCTGGGCGGCCATCTTGGTTTTTCCGTACCACGTGAGGATAGTGGAACATGTTAATTCGATGAGGATTAATTAGACTCGTAGAGAGGGTTAAGGAGGCGAACGCGGAATCCGGTGGAGGAATGACGTCTTATCGTGGCGAGGCTCGCGAAGCGAGCTAAGGGATTCCGGTTCGTCCGATTAAAATTCCCGTCCGTGAACGATGATTTCCGGTGGCGTCTCTTTCTTGCCGCGGAGCGAATAGCGCGGCTCCGCCTACCTAGAGGGGATATATATCGCGTATTCCGTCCACATTGTCGGCAATTCCAGTTTCCCCGGTCGCGCCGCTAGATGGCGCGCGGGAGGGCAAAAAGGAGCCTCTGGGTTTTTGCTCGATGCCCGTCGAGAGAGTTCATTCATGAAGCCGTTCTTGTCGGGAAGCCACGCGAGCGGATCGATCGGGAAGAAAGGGATTCCGCGATGCCTCGAATCCGAGCCAACGTACCAGCTGGAATGTCATTACGGAATAATGAGGGGAATTGCATAATTACGGGCCACGAGGCGCATCTTAATCGGATAACCGGTGGACGGCGCTCCACGCTAACGATATCCGCCCCGTCTTCCGGGAAATCGGGGTGGTTTATTAACTTTTTTAACCGGGGACATTTAACTGGACGTCGCCTGGATGCCAATTTCGAAGGGGAGCTCTCGTTTCCTCGGCTCCGACGAGTTTTTTAGCTTTTGGGGAGAGCTCTTGGACCGGATGATGTCCTTTAGGGAGAACTTCTAGTTAGAAGAGTTTCCATCGACCTGGAGACGTTATGCATAACTTAATTAATCTCCTGGTTTGGTTGATAATAATTTATTTCACTTTCCTGGACAAGAGACTTGCTCTGATGTACTTGGCGCGCCACTCTACCGACCTTTTTAACCATCAGGCCTAATTTCTACCATGATGATGATGTCCTTTAGGGAGAACTTCCAGTTAGGAGAGTTTCCTTCGACCTGGGGACGTTATCCATAACTTAATTAATCTCCCAATTTGGTTGACAATAATTTTTTTCACTTTCCTGGACAAGAGACTTGCCTCTGATGTACTTGGCGCGCCACTCTACCGACCTTATTAACCACTGCACTTCGTTATCCTGATTTTCACTTAAAATCGGCATTTCTGATATCAAAGGCATTTTTTTCCCGTCACTCGTAGCGTTTAAACAATATACATGAATTAAGTAGGGTCAAACAAAATGGCGCCTTAAGCCTTAAGTAAATTAAACAGAGATGGAGGGATTCCCTGGCTTTCAGACCTCGTTGGAGACTCTTTGTTACCACATGCGTTAATAACAAGGCCGATGGGTGCAGCGGCGATAATTAACCGCTTAAAGGACAATTACAGAAACGTTTATGCACGGAATGCAATAAGCGACGAGGTGTCCAACTTAAGCTAATGACCTCGAAATTCCTGCCCGACGTCCTTAAGGCGAAGAGCTTGGGAAAAAGATATCCACAGAGAGGCGCATAAACGAGAGCCGACAGTAATGCTGGTCGTACGATATTTATGGGCACGTAATTAATACAGAGGTGCCCAGATATGGTTTTTGATAGAGACCGAAAAACGGCGAAGTCACCATCAAGAAAGTCGGTAGCGTCTCGAGACAAATCATAAACGAGACCTCTGTGTCGCCACTTTCACGTCCCCTTAAACTTGCCCAAAGCCTCGGAGAGTCCTCGGTTCTCTTCATCCTTTCGGTCTCCTTCGAGCTGGTTATAGAGACGTTGCAGGCGAAGGAACGGGATCGGGATAAAGCGAGCTAAGCCGAAGTCCAAGCACGAGGCGAAGGAAGACGGGTTCGGAGGACTACGGACAGGTTCGCTGGCGAAAAACTCCAATTTGTCTCGCGCGCTGCGTATCGTACCTGGATCTACCTCCTATACCTAATATGCAGGCACATATAATACGTACAGTGCTCCTCGAACCTCCTCCGACTATCCCGAGTACCCCGAGAGGTCTTTCCAGTAATTATTTCGCCTGTTTTACAGCCGTCGAATTATGGGAACTTCGGACATTCTTTGTAGAGCAAGTTCATCGCTCGAGTTGGAATTGAGATGTTTGTCTTTTGACTCTTTTGGTGCTTACATGCTGAATGGAAGTTCGAAAAGGTCTTTCCAGTAATTATTTCGCCTGTTTTACAGCCGTCGAATTATGGGAACTTCGGACATTCTTTGTAGAGCAAGTTCATCGCTCGAGTTGGAATTGAGATGTTTGTCTTTTGACTCTTTCGATGCTTAAGTGCTGAATGGAATTTCGTAGAGGTCTTTCCAGTAATTATTTCGCCTGTTTTACAGCCGTCAAATTATGGGAACTTCGGCCACTCCTTGTAGAGCATGTTCATCGCTCGAGTTGGAATTGAGATGTTGGTCTTTTGACTCTTTCGATGCTTACATGCTGAATGGAATTTCGTAGAGGTCTTTCCAGTAATTATTTCGCCTGTTTTACAACCATCAAATTATGGGAACTTCGGCCATTCTTTGTAGAGCAAGTTCATCGCTCGAGTTGGAATTGAGATGTTGGTTTTTTGACTCTTTCGATGCCTACATTATGAACGGAATTTCGAAAAGGTCTTTCCAGTAATTAATTCCTCTGTTTTACAGCCGTCAAATCCCCGGAACTTCGAAATTTTCTGAAAGAAAATAGATGAACTGCATTTCGCTCGTTTCAGGATTTAGAGAAGACAAGGTGCGCATACACGGAGGATTTACTTTTGACTCTTACCTCGTCTTCCGAAACGTCGCCATATTGCAATGTATTAAAGGTTTCAAATAATTCGGGGCATCCAGTTTATAAATACATTTATATACATTGTATATGTATAGAATGACCTTAATGCCAGGTCCTGGGCTTTGAGCATTTCTGGTGGAACGAGGTCGTTAAGTTTTAGTGGGTTGGTTCTAACGCTGAATGCGCCTTCCCAGATCCCTTCGTGGTCACCAAAATTCCTCTTTTTTTGGTTGGTACCTCCTCTGCGACCGTATTAGGAAACCTGCAGTCATTGTGCTCGCCCTGCTGAACGGCCGACTCGAGGGCAAAAAGTCCCTAAAGAAGATGGCACAATAAGAGGACATTACGGCCCAGGAACCCATCCGAGTTTCTATAATTACCGACTAACGTTCTTCAACCCTGGGAGGCTTAACCTAACCTTTGTTTGCTTGCATTATGCAATTACTT